ACCCAGTTTCTACATTCCAGTGCAAACTTTTCCCAATCTTGTACAAATCAGACAATATAATGGAAAAAGGCAGCTTTTTACGTAAACAATATTTCCCTTCCAACTGGCTCCTAGAAAAACTCAATATATCAGCACCCTCTCATTATCTTAAAGACAGCCAAATATCAATTATCTATTTTATTTAGATTTTCTTTTAATGTTCTCAATCACATGAGTTTCAAACCACCACTATACGACCAACCACTGAGTCCCTGAAATTATTATAAAATGAATAATTTTCAAACTTGTAAAAAATGGATCTGATCTAAGATAGATTATTATCAGCACATTATGCATGTCTACTCAGAATAAATTCCACTAGGCTTGACAGAGCTTAATCCCAGTGTATATACAATATTCATGCATATACTACTCTTGGGAGTAAATTCTACTGAACTCAGAGAATAGTCAACTTCACTATTTCAGTTTTAAGGAGGCATATTCAGATTGCAGCTACATATCTTACTGCCTTCAATAAAAAAGAATACTAAATATAGGAATTACATGGATTTTACAAAAGAGAACTTTAAAAATGTAGTCTTTTGGTAAGGATGCCTGTATTCAGATGTTTAGAAACTAGAAAGAAAGTGTCTGATGAAATAAAATGAACTCTTTCCAAATCATTCTCTGATATCAAACATTTGAAAAGATAATTGAAGAAGGTTAAAAAAATGGACTAATACACATTTTTATTTGTTTCTTAATCTAGCAATATAAAAAGAATTATATCATAAGATCAGTGAACACTTCAAAATCTCAGGATCCAATTGGCTTTAATTAAGCAATTATCACTTTCCCCCAAAAATAGAAAATGCTGGATTAACATTGGGAAATGTCTGTCACCTTGCTGGATGATTAATAATGACTTCAGAATGTAAGTTTGGAGAAAGTCAAGACCATAGATGAAAGTTTCTTCCTTTGTGTGTACTATAAAGGCTTCAACTGAATGCACACATCCTATTTTTATGAGGCTTATTTCCAATAAGAATATACAGGACTGCAACTTTCAAGAGTTTACTTTGGAATCATATGTACATATAGCAATGAAGAACTGTAAAAAGAATCGGGGTCAGGAACCAACCTGCTGTATAGGCTTCTGCAGCCAATAGGGGGTCAAAGTTCTCTTCCTATGCCATCCCTCCTTCACATTTCTATGCCTAGTACTTAAAAGGTTTACGAAACATAAATATGGTTGCTAATTACTTCATTAGTGTAATGTGTAGTTCTGTTTTCTGTGTGGGCTCATATTTCTAAAGGCTGTTTACCTCCTGGGAAATACAACCACAAAGATCTAATTCAGATGGCTTTTGTGAGACGATTGTGATTAAATATTTTGCATGGTTAAACAAACATTCCTCCAGTAGTGCCAGCATTTTTCCATGATACTATGACAATATCATGGAAAAATGCTGGCACTACTGGAGGAATGTTCTGAGCTACAGCTTTGGATGGAAACCTTGGCATGAACCCAGAAACCTCCCCTGACAAATATTCTGATTTATTTTCTTTTAGTAAGTATTTCAGGATTGCATGTTTGTTTAGCACTTTATGGCTGAATTCACACAGCACATTTACCCAATGATACCTGAGCCATGATTTATTCAATTCACTCAATGTTCTAATTCTCATAAATCATTTAATTAGAGGCTATCCATATAGGGTGGATTCACCCAACATGTGCCTGGTTAATCTGTGATCTTTTGAGTCATGAGAACCCAGCTTAAGGGTGAATGCTGGCTAAAGAAATTCAAATCAGGTATTCCCAGTCTGACTCTCACCTTTATCATGAATACACCAGGTAAATTTAGCAAGCCACTTTCGGTTATGATGCATCTATCCAAAACAGTAGGAGATAATATTACTAATGGTCTAATTTAATGGCTTGTTGCTAGAATCACAACCAAATAATATAATTTATGTTCTAGAGATGTTTGAAACTTCTTAAAAATATTCATCATCATTTCTAATAATTTAACAATAGTGCGTAAGGGAGGGAGATGGGCAGCTAAGAAAAATATAAAAATATCAATAAATAGAACTCATAAAGGGTGGGAGCAGAACACATTATTCTCCTGGCTTCCTATGCTCCACTGATTTAATTTGCCCCTCCTATCAACTCTGCTAATAGGAAAAGTGTCTCAAAAACGAGGTAGAGAGAAAGGAACTTAATATGTATTATGAAACTAGACATTGAAACCCAGACAATATGTTGCTGTAAAGCTGATGTCCACAATCATGTGTTCAAAGTTTTGCCTCTTTTTAATGTATTCTGCATGAAAAAGGGATGAGATGTCAATCTTACAGTTGTGTCTGCCATCTTGAATTTTAGTGCATGTGCATGTGCACACGCATGCACACACACACACACACACACACACACACACACACAATCAATAGATGCCCCTGTTCAGGAAGGTGAAAGATCTGGGGGGGGGGGGAATTATCAAGCAATGAAGGATGGAGAAGATGGAGGAAAAAGCAGATTTAGTCCCCATTCTTTTAAGTTCCATTTTGTAAATAAGGCAGATTCTTGACCACTTTATAGCTAAATTAATGACTGCAACTTTATGGAACGTTCCATTTCCAGAGAAGCTAGGGTAAATCCATATTCATATATTAGTTTATTAAAAATGGATTTTAGTGATATTAAGCCATAACTACAAACCACCATAGCTGGGTTCTCTGATGTAATGGGTAGGCAACCTTTGGTTTATGGCTGCACATAATCCTGAAGCAACAAGATTTTGAAATTCAGCATCATATTATTTGTTTGGGGGGTTTCCCCCAAAATTTTAGGTGGGAACCAGAGTGGGGGTCTCTGGGAAGCAAACTATCCTCTTTCTGATCCTTAAAATCCCAGAGTCACCACAAATAGTTCTAAATGTGTCAACAACATTTAGCAATTGATCAGCTAAGTTTCAACAACAATTTTTCAGGACACGTAGGGAAGTATGGAAGGGGGGGGAAGGGGAAATGGGAATACTTTGCTTCCCAAAGATCTCCTATTCCCTTTCCAAGGTTAAAACTCCACTCACTCCCAGGAAAAGACTGCAATTGCAGACCTCTATCAGTCATCTCACACAAAGTTATCCATCAACATGGCTTAGTCCAGGCATGTCAAACTCACGACATCACGTGACATCGTGCAACATATCGGGCCGGTTTTGCCATTGCCGGCAATGGGGTGGGCGCAGTTTCCACATGACGCGTCCGGCCCACAGGCCGCCAGTTTGACACCCCTGGCTTAGTCCAATATGTGAACCAATCTTATTCAAATTAGTTGCAGACAAAGCTTCATGCTCCACATGGCACATTTGCCAGCATAAACACAACTGGTGTGAAGATACAATATGGAACCCAATTTTCCCAAGCCACTGGATTACTTAATAATAAGGTATTCTAACTAATTACGGAAGGAAATCTTAGGGACTGAAGGCTTAAATTCTTAACACTTCTGCCAATTTAAAATACTACATACAGAGTTGGCAGATAAATCCTCCCAGCAAGTTTAGCTCCATTAGGTGAACATAGCAGTAGAAGCAAGGAAAAAAGTCAGACCCAGGTAACTAAAGGCTTACTTTAAGCTAGTCTCTGCAGCAGATGAGAATCATCTAAAAGTGCAACTATAACATTTTAGGAAAATAAATCTATTCATTCTTTTATTTATTTACACATTTCTATGTTTGCCTCTTCCCAGGAGCTCAGGGTGATGTACATAGCATTGCATCCTATGGTTAAGGTTGCATGTGAAGATAGTATAGCAGGCCTGAGCTGCTAATCAACAGAAAATATGCTGATAAAAGCTACGGTTAATGCATAGTTTTCAAACGAACACAGATGCAGAGATTCAATTGTGATATATAGGAAATCATCAAGCTGAGGGAAGAGTACATTGCCCTGATAATGGAGCCAATCATCCTTGGGTGCTCTTGAGGACATCCCTCATCAGCAAGACTCCCGTTCCTGAATTGAAACAGACCTTTGCTGTGGACTGACAGCAGTGGCAGATTTCATCAATGTAGTAATAATCTATTGCCAATGCTTCTCCCAACAAACATTTTCTACTTTTTGGGTTCATTCCCATCCATTCATCACTCCCTAAGTACACTTCAGTTCCATCTGTGAAGCCGGGAAACAGCCTTCCCAAGGGAGCCCTCCCAGCTGCTCCCCCCTTTTGTCTTTTCACTAATGCTGACAGAATAACAGCTCCCTAATTTAGAACAGCTCTGAGGACTGTCAGTGTTTTTTAAACCCCCTTAAGAATCTTAAGGGAGGACAAGTCTTTTGTATCACTAAATTCCTGGATGTGACAGCTTCTGCCATGTTCGGTGCATTCATGCAGCCATGGAAGTTGTTGAGTTTAATATTTAAAGTATTTAGATATTAATATGAAATATTAAATATGTATTTTCTGCCCTTCTATACCTACAATAAAATGAACCCCAGTCTGGGGACAAGTCTTACCTAACCAAACTATCTTTGCAGGAGGTTCCTTGCCCCCCCCCCCATTAATTTTTTCTACAACCAGGTCTAATAAATTCATCCTCAGCTTTCTTTGTGGATTAAGTCAAGGTCCAAGGTTGCTAATGGGTGCTTACAGGTAACTCTAGTACATTTTGAGCATGTATGACAGGCTTTCGTTTTCATTTAAAAACAGATGGTAATACCTAGCCAACTTTGACTGATCTAGAAATCTAAGCATGGCTGGCTCTAGTTTGTCCCAGATGGCTGAGGAACATCTGAAAAGTCTAGGGATATAGGCTAAACTGAAGGGGGCTGTTTGTAATTCATTTCTTCTAACCTGATCTTTTCCAAACTGGTCCCACTAGGTATGTTAGGATTACCTCCAGCTATTCTAGGAACTAGGAACCATGAGGGTAATTTGGTGGACACCAGTTCTAACATCACTTTTAATGAACAAACCATACCAGATGTTAACTCTAATTCTATGAAACTTGTACCTGTCATAATCTCCATTGCACAAGGCTCGCACAGGGATAGCGAATGACTGCCATACTGGATTCAGAGTGTTCTTCACCACTTCAGTTTTATGACAGATGGTAAATCTACCAAGATACAGAAGGTCCATTTAGTTATAAGTTAATTCTCAGAAACTGAAGAATGCCTTGGGTTAGACAACAATAGAGAAGAAAGAGAAATCTCATTGTTTTTATTTTTGAAATATGCTTCTCCAACCCACCATGGACGATGAAAATTGGACTGGGTTGGATCAAGATAACAATGGATTACTTTAATAGCTGTAAACACTGGCATTCTCTAAGCACTTGCAGCAGAAATGAGCACCAGCTTCATGCAATATTAGCTAACATTCTTCAGAGGATATAAATATTTTCTATTAAAATTATACTTTTATTAGCACAAGTAGTGCAATATCCATTCCCACAGAGACAAAACTTGCTGAAAGCAGAACTATATTGGGAACCAGTTTAAAAGCAATAACCAGCAAGATATGGCAATATCTCTAGAAAAGAGAAGCTCATATTTTCTCAAACAAGGGAGGGGGAGGGTTTTTTTTTCCAGGCAGGGCCTGTGTTTTTAAGAAATAATCTGCTGGGAGCCATGTTCCAGTAATAACCGGAGCCAAAATTGGGCAGATCACTCTTTTCTTCTTCTCATTTTCTATTCGCTCAACTTTCCATAATGTCCATCTTTCCTCCCATCCAACCTATTTTTGGAAGGACAGATCACTCTTGCTATCGACTTAAAATGAGCCTTTTGCAAAAATCCTCTGATGGCATGTTAAAGGCTACATGAATCACAGAATACATGAATTACCCAAATCTAGCATTCTGACCATCCTTACTGTAATTTGGTTGGGACATTTCAGTGAGAAAGCGTTTGCCTAGAACAGTGATCCAGACTACCAAACCTATCAGATTTTGATTCTGGGAATATGGATCTCCACCCTGCTCACACAACAAATGTTAGGGTCTGTGTCTGGGAATTTGGATGCAAGCCAATATTTTATTTCAGCACTAGCCTTTGCACTTTGAAAATTGAGGAAAATGTTCACAATTTCAAGGAGATCTGACTTTCAGTTGCCTATTTAATTATTCAGAATTGTCAGCTAGGGAATTGTCTTGTTGTTAGCTAACTTTTGCCCAGGTCTTTTTTCTATTAAACACAACATCTCATTTCACATCTTACTGGCTTAGTGAACAACTTCAGGAATATTCATAAATCATCTTTTTAAAATGATCCTGAAAGTTGAAAACTTAGCATATTTAGCACAGTCTTTTTATTTTCTCCTCAAATCAGTTTTTTTACTTGAACTGGTCCAAAAAACTCTTTCCAACTCACAAGAAAAGTTTGTTCAATTGACATGGTATGATCATGCATAAGAACAGGTAAAGTTTCAATCACACAATCATAGCCATCATCTTGATTTTTTTTTTTATACCATATCCTATAGATCCCATAATTCTTAAGACTGCAAAACTGGAAGAATGCTAAAAAAAAAAAAATACTTATCCATCCTGAGTTTAATAGTCAATGCCTCTCTCACTCAAGCTTTTCTTTGATATTATTGCAGAATGATGATCTTTTCAATTAACCAAAATGACTGTATTTTTGGAATGTGAGGTAAAGAACATTTAAGAAGAAGGGACCCATTGTTTTAGTGCAGTGGTTCTCAACCTTTTTAATGCCGCGACCCCAACCTGTCGTAAGTCGAGGACTAAACCGGCCGTAAGTCGAGGACTACCCAACCGGTCGTAAGTCGAGGACTTTCCCTGCCCGGGAGCGCCGCGCATGCGTGGTTCTGCCCCCTGCGCCAGCCGAGGCGTAGCTGGCAAGCGGCAGAGACGGAGCAGGCCGACCACCAGCTGGCCCAGCCCAAGGGAGGTAAGGCACCCGCCGGAAAAGGGGAAAAAATGGCGGACAAAAAAAATGGCAGACAGCCTTGCTTGGCGACCCCCGTGAAATGGTCGATCGACCCCAAATGGGGTCCCGACCCACAGGTTGAGAACCACTGTTTTAGTGTCAAGCCAGATTACATATGGCTACAATAATTTTGTCTATGATATGCGTTAGCCTGGACAAGTTCTTTATATGAAGCTTTTAAAAGATTGCTTACTAAGGAAAGCCTGAACAGGGAGCAGCAGCCAGCTACACTGATTGACCTAAACAAAAACCTGTTGGATCTGACTGGCATTTGAAAGAGTGATCATCAGAAAATGCAGACTTATAATCCAGACTGGGAAATCACAAACAAAATTCCAGAATGACCAGCAAGTTGTTCACTGTGTGCTAGTGAAGAGTCAGTTAAAATTGGAACGAATCTATTCCCAGAAAAAAACCACTTGTACTCACGTTCCATCTTCATTACTTCTGAAGAATACCATGAAAGGGTCTGATTTCCCAAAGAAGTCCTTCTTGTCCAGCTTGTTGGCACAGAACTGCATCGTGGCTACATCCTTGGAATTGGAAGAAGAAAATATATTGTCTAACAGCATTGCTGTTGAGCTAACAGAGCAATTTTAAGAAGTTATACTGGAAAGTGGTACAGTAAAGTACCACACATAAACATAACAGAGTTTGCAATCAGCCCAATAGGAAATAGCAAAAAAAGACTCATCATGGAAAGAAATTCTAATCCAGTGTGTAACTGAAAGGACTACAATAGCATGAGCAAGGTTTGAAAAATCTGGGAAAGCTATCAGTTTAGCATCAAACAAGGATACTGCACCTACAACTAAGACTTTTTACTCATAGATCTTGGTACTTGGGTATTTTCTTTCCCCATCAGTCTCTGGAACATGCACTGAAGCATGTTAAACTGAACTCTTTATAGAAGAGTTACAGCTTGCCAATGATTTTCGTAGTAGATAAATCATCCACTACACTTTTTGACTTCCTGGCATTTAAATCAATCCAGGCCCTTAGGATTATAATGGAACTAGCTGCTTCCGTGAGTTAGAAAAATACAAACAACTTTATATATTTATCAATCAGCGTCACTGCTGCTCTGTGATCATGTACACAAAAATTTTGTTAGGATTGGCATTCCATAAATACAATAAACTTGCTAAAATATTCCCCCTAATTCTTCTATAAGTTGCATTTTCACTTGTAAGAATGTGTGGATTTTATGTACAATTTCCCCTGCTCTGCATTTTATGCATATTTTTCCTAATGTAGATGAAGCTCTTCTGGATCACTCCTAGACCCTCCATACATGGCTGCTCAATCAGGTCTCCCTAATCTCTTTCCTATTTGCCATAGTTCAACATCATCATGTGGATTAGGTCCAATGCTCAATCTTGTGATTTTGTGCTCTGAGATATTCCTCAATTAGCTCTGTATCATCTACAGATTTGATAAGCATGCCTTCCATTGCATTTCTAGGCCATTTATCTAGATACTGAATAGTAGATATTGAATCTAGATACTGAATTCATGTTTCATGAATAGAGGAAAGACCAGACCACTATTTTTCTACTTGGCAACTTGAAGATATGTGAACTTCAACTCCCAGAATTGAATTGAATACATCTTCAAGTTGGAATAGAAAGACAACACACAACTAACCATCACAGTTAGCTCCTGATAATGGTAACATTCTTTTTTAAATGCTCATAGCCACACTGCTTGACAATTTATTTAGCAGAGATGCTAAATAATAGGTACATATTTTCTCAGGTGCTCCCTCTACCATTTTGTATATTGGTTGCTCTTATCTAGCCTTCCAGCACCACCAGTAGGTTTCAAAGATCACAATCAGTCGGCAGGAGTTCATGTATAATATATTTTTTTTTATTTCATGCTTGCCAGGACCAACCATTTGGCTTGAACTATCTGCAGATACTCTATAAGATATTACTGTGTTAAGGAAATAATAGCCTTGCTGTTGTAAGCCAAATGTTTCAAGCTGTAAACCACTGAAGATCACACTGTGTCTTGAAGTGTCATGTTTGAGATGAAAAGTCAGTTTGATGAGACTTTTTTCACCAGTAGGGAAGCATGAAAGGAGGCCAGGAGAGATTAGTAGCCCACTTATCAATCCTTTCTGATTGCAACTCAAGGCATTTTTGTTCTGCAAAATTCTCTGCCAGTGCTGCTGGAGGCAGACAGCAGTGGTTATTTTCCAGGAGAAAATGAGTGAATCACTATGTGTGTATGGACACTGAATTTTTCCAAAAGTACCACTTTAACTGGGAGAAAAAGAGGAATAGAGCATGCTGGGTAAAATAAAAAAGAGCCATGCTGTCTTTACCTTTTTGAGGAGTGGTTATTACGTGGTAAGGCATTTCTGATTTTCTGGTTTTTTTTTTTAATTTTTATTTATTACTCTAATTCTATTTATTTATTACTCTAATTTATACCCCGCCCTTCTCCAGAGGGACTCAGGGCGGCTCACAGGTAAATAAAAACAATACTATACAATAAATATCTAAAAGCCAAATTAAAATATATATTAAACAACCTGTATTAGAAAAATTATAAAATCCCTTTAAAATCCCTATAAAATCCCGCCCCTAGGCCAATCCCGCTTGATGGAAAAGCCATGTCTTGAGGGCACGGCGGAAGGAGGGGAGATCTGGAATAATCCGGATCTCTGGGGGGAGTTCGTTCCACAGGGTGGGGGCTCCCACAGAGAAGGCCCTCCCCCTGGGGGTCGCCAGCCGACACTGTTTGGCCGACGGCACCCTGAGGAGGCCCGCTCTGTGGGAG